TTGTGCAACGGGTACTTCCATTGAAGAATGTGTCCAGCACCAGGAGCTGCGTTGGTTGGGACATATGTTGCGTATGCCGAACCATCGTTTGCCGAAGGGAGTGTTGTTTTCCATGCCCAACTCAGAGCGGCGTAAGCACAGAGACGGCCAATCTTTGACTTAGCAGAGGAGTATGAAGGAGATTACGTAGCGCTGTCGGTACTACTCGCCTTCCGGGATTGGGACCGCGTGATCCTCATTGTGCCTGATTGGAGACACTACAATATATGGCTGCCAACCGATGTCAGTGGCGTTCTTGTTGTCAGTTTCTATCCAGGTTGCCTGAGTGAATATCTGGAGGTATAGGCACCTCGGAATGATTGTGGTAAGCTGGCACTAAGTCCCTTCCCCGTCCACCCTTACTCTTTTCTTTAAAATAAGGCTTTCAAATAAATCATGGTTGTAGGGCAGTGAAGCATCGGTGTTAAACACTGATGTCATGCTGCCGATGATGGTGCTGACCAACAACAAATCTTTGTTCCGTTATCACTTTGAAATCTTAGTGATTTTGAACCGAATCCACATGCAGCTCAATATATTCATTTGCTTTGACATGAGTGTATTTCATCCCATTTTGTTCCCGTCGTGGATATGTTTCAATGATGGAAGTCCGGGGGCCTTACTGCGCACTCAGCTGACTTCCCCATGATTGTCTACCCGGTACACGTGGTAGCCAAGCAGGTCGGAATGTGCTAACGTTGTTTAGACACTCCCTAATCAACGTAACTAATCAAGTGAATGTCAACTACAGAAAGATCGGGAACTATTTCGAATATTAGTGGACGTTTTGTTTTGAATGATATCATTCAAGAAGGTTTGGTCAAGAATTTGTGATTGGCGAATCTCACAAACGCTGCACCGACTAGGGATGTTGAGGACACAGACAACATTGTTGTGTAGTGTGTGCTCAGGACATTTATTGTCGAATGCCCCCGTTCTGGGTAGTTCTGCTTGACCAAAATCAATTTGCATTACATTACTCATGAGACCCATTTTGTAGAAGCACGATTGCTTTAACCTTTTTGCATGCTATTCTTTGGAACTCCATCGCTGAAGTTTCTAGATGCTTCTTGTATTTTTTACCCATAAACTGATTATATTGTGATTCGTACAGACGATCTGATGCGTTGACTAGGATGCAGTCAGCGTCTAATTGACTCAGGTGTTTCTACATCCGTATGAGCGATCTTGTTGTGGTAAAAAATGTCATTATCAGTTTTGTTCAGTAATGTTTGCCCGCTATAGACCATGTTTTAAGCTATATTGGTTCAAGCTGTCACAGTTTCTTCCACCGGGCCTCGTTGAGAATGACGGACGGAACGCCACAAACAATGACATGATGAATTCATTGACGCTGAATCGTTTCATTTTATGCACGGTGGAGGAATCAATACTGCAATGCATTGGAGGCAATAGCTATGATCACCCCTGTCTGATTCGATCGCGTGTGTCTGCGTCACCATCAGTGAGTTCACTGGTGAAGTGGTGAAGGTTATTACCGAGTCACGAAATGACAGCCTTTATGTCTTTCCCATTCTGAACACGACTGGGTTAGCGCAGTTGGGCGAGCGAAGCACCTGTCCCAATCTGCGCGTCACACGTGAGTCGATTCTTCGAACAGCTATCTGACGCACCTCAGCATTTCCCGATCGGACGTTCTCACTAGGCCGGGGCTGTGCTTTAGAGACACTAATGTTCAAATACTCAAAAAAACGTTGTGTATCTCCGATGCCCATTGACAGTGGGGTTTTATCGATGAAACACCATCGATCGTGTAGCAGCAATTCTTATCGGTCAGGAACATAAGTGTTTAAAATAAGCGTCTTAGCCTACTTGTATGAGAAATGGACTTTTCTTCGTTCACTTGTCCACCGATTTTATACACCACATCGATCGGGCAATTTGTACGTATGACTTCTTTGGGTTTGGTCTAAACCAGTGTTGCATAGTCGCACGCTGATCGACCATGTCCCAGCCAGTACAACGCACCAGTTCGTTGCAGTGCTGAAGCCTGACCGCCAAGTCCACTAACAACTTTAAGACACAGGTGCTTGTTGGGCTGAATAGACATGCGTTTGGACCTTGTCCTTTTTATCCTACGAGCGTTCGCTCTCTTACAGGATTCCGAAATGGCAGCCTTTATCTGACCGCATTGATCTCGCGCGTACGGCAAGAGAAGCTCTATGGGCGATAGCTTTTGCGCGTCCGAAAGCAGTTACTCTAACTCTTTCATTGGAGGTTCGACGATTTGGAGTACAAATCAATGCGGCAGCAGCTGCAGCTACGAATACTCCACCAGCAACTTCGAAATCCACTCATGGACAAACACTCATGACACAAGCACCCGTGGCGGGCTTTGGCAACACCTCCGTCCTTCCAAAGGATGGCGACTCAGTCGTACTTCAGTCGCTTGTTCCTCGCGAACAGGCTGATGTTTCATCGCCTTCAACCGCTGCTCCAAACATGATGGTGATGATGGCCTCGCCGGCAGTTGCTGCACCTGTTTTCGGTCCTGGCACCCCTTCCAATCCTCCTGAATCGCATGCGCATGGTAAGTGCACTTTCTTGTAGTACAAACCGTGATGTTCTAAATGTTTCCGGTGAAACACTCTATGCATCAAACTTTCTAAGATTACTTTCGAGAATGAGGGTATAATTCGGAGGCGTACTGAATAAACTACTTTTTTTAACTTTCCGGCTTTTCGTCATAGAGGTCCCGTTCTTGACGCCCAATAATGGCCCTTTCGTAATTTCACACTGTCTGTTATGAGGCAATTTGGATTCTTTGGTCAGTGTTTGCATACCTACAGGCGAATAACCAATCGAGCTGGAATGATAGTGTGAATCAACTGACCAGAACGCTACTTCACCCTGTCTATGACCACTCCGGCTAGCTCAGTGGTTAGAGCTTGCTGACCGGAGGTCCGTGGTTCGAACCCGACCCCTACCTCTCGACTTCCCCTGTCTAGGCTTGGGCAGTCTGGCAGTATCCCAGCCCTGGTGCTTGCTTCGGGTGGCATGGCAGTTAGGCACCGGCAGGGTGCTACAGCTGAACGGTTATTTTATGACCACTCGGTCAGGAATTCGAGCCAGTCGTTTTCTCCTCCTAATATTCAATTCCGTTTTGTAAGTGAAAACTTCACACCTCGAACGTAGGTTGGAAGGCTCATCCAGAGTAGGGGGTGTGCACTGGACTGGCAACGATGGTTTGGTCAACCATCAGGGTTCGCTGTAGTCTCATCCTTGTGACTGTTGTTTGTAGGATGGAGCGTCATCAGTCCTATCGAAGAGAACCCACAGCCAGACGTGTCTTGGCGTAATCTTGGGGATCAGGCTTCCTGATACGGCTATAATCTCTCACTAAAATTCCACGGGTTAACTGTCCCAATTTTCATTCTAACTTCATATAGTTGTAATGATACCGATACTTCACAAACCCTTCTTTTCCGTTTGCTTGCGAAAATTCTGTCAATTGTTCGGTCTAAATACTCATGCTACTCAGGCTATCACACTTTCCCTTGGCAGCGAAGTCTCGTTTTCTTCATTTTCAAAGCATCCATCCTACCCTACGTTTAGCTTCGTCAAGGTCGATCATTTTTCGGCCATAGATCATAATGATATAAATCTGGTCCCGTCAGTATTCCGCTCCCAGTAGGCTCACATATACGGCGAATCCTGTTTTACCCCAATTACATCACCTGGACATTTCAATCTGTTGCGTTTTAATGGACATCGAAAACACTTCATGTGGCCACGATTTTCTTGATCCGACGAGTCCATCTGTCAACGAGACGTGATTACCTACTCGAATAATTTGTAGTAAGGTAATGGTAGGTTGTGTGAATACCAGTTACGTTTGCTGGTGAGTTGTAATTTGTTGATTGAGTCACCTGCTTCGTATCTGAGCGCCAGGGTTTGATCGATGCTGTAACTCGATGAACGGTCATGTTATTGAACTTTTCGCTAATTAATCACGTTCATGAATGAGATACAGATAGCGATTGCGGTAGGCAGTGACCCGTTGTCTAGCAACAGGAGTAAGATTCATGAGGGCTGCCGAACCATGGCTTTGTTATCTCCTCTTTCGTGCAGATCCTTGTGTTTGAATTTTCACTATAAGAACGAACATTTATACATTCGACTGTTCCTCCGCTTCTGAATCCCCTCCATTTTATGAGCTTATGCATATCTCGAGGTTCAACTGCTCCACCGTTGACCTTGAATGAGTTCAAAACAGCTATCATAAGCTATGCTGGTGACGACTAATCGGGAGCTGTTTCCAAAGGTGATAACCTTTCGATGAATACCCTCTGTTGCATGGGTGCTTGTTTCCAGCTGTTAAGCTCAACAGTTTGACTTTTTCATCGAACAGACCCTGCACGCATTATCTGATGTGTGTGGCCAGCTGATAACCAGTCCTTCCCTCTTTAGCTGAGTCGATACAGCAATACGCACTCTCAGCATGGAAAAGCATAATTGGTGGCGTTCTAGCGAGCCTGTCTCCTATCTCCCTATCGCCATAGCTCAAGCAGAATGTTTGAAGACCCAAGCCCTTGACCCACAGTCCTGATCTACAAAGTAATGTGAGAGTGTAGGGTTTTGTAGGACACTACCCCTAGCCAACTATTGGACTGGTGACTGAAGGCTGCCAAAAAAACCACGGGCACATAAAACAAGGCATGGAAGTCTGCATCTCGAGCTTTCCTGATGTCAAGTCCAAGTGCCGTGCTTGACATTCTTCCGTCATGCTACTGGACCAGCACAGTTCGAGCTATTTGCCTGGACCGCTACATGTGAAAAGCTGTGTGCTTGGTCATGGAGTTTGTCGCATGTGTGATCGAGGTAGCACACTTCATTCAATCGAAAGTGGGTCCTTAGACGGCTGTTGATGCATGTCTCAGGGCGTCGACTACGAGGACCAATGGACTGTGTTCGTTCGTCCTCACAAGCGTTTGCTAAATTCAAATTGATGAGCCCAAAAGTTGCTCAATGAGCGTCTGCCAAAAACGCTCAAAGCTTCAACACACTCTCAGCTTTTCGGTAGCTCCCGCACCGAATTGCATGTAAATTTAAAAAAAAAACAGTCCTCATGCTTATCTTGTGTTGTTTGGCTTCGTTGCACCGGGCGGTTGCTGCTAATGAGGTATCGAACATTTTTCTGGTACTAGCGAATATGCCAGAGTTAGAGTGTAACTTGCGTCACTGGGTCGATTTCGTCATCTGTGGTGCAACCTGATTGAAGAACGGCTTATAAAAAAGTGGAAAGAAAAGCTAAGAATAGGGATTTAGTGCAAACAAGGTCTATTTCCTTAAAAGAAAACGATCAATAATAGGCACCATTGAAATAAACAAATGTGAGCATCGTTTCAGTAAGATTGACCCGGTGTCCTTTGTGAAGCTCACCCGACATGAGCCCAGAACACAACAACTTTGGCTAGATAATCCGGCAAGGAAATGAAAGTACACACGCCACTGGGATCCACTGGTTTGCGTACCGTTTCCTGAAGGGCTGCTAACCGCGTGCACGCATGACTACGTGGGTCCCAGTCAAGGCGGATGATCCCACGGCACTCGTTTGAACCGGTGTCCCTCACCTCATGGCCTGTCTAAGCAAACCTTTCTCCAGCAGTCGCTTGGAGCAGAAAACTGCAACCTTTAGCTTCAGCGAATTACGCTTCTGACTCCATAAATGGCACAAGTTTGCGAACGCCGCTTGCATATTGATTTAATTTACTACAGCACCGGATCGACAAACACAAGCTTTTCATTCTGGAGCTCCAGAGAAACACAAGGTTATAGAACATCTTGCAGCAAGACTTTGCACTCTAAAGGCACGAAATGCATATCGAATCCTGGGATCACTCCTGACATTCCATCTAAAGTACCAAGCACAGAGGAGTAATTGCCAAACAACAGAATGGTGCTATTCGCATGACCCAAGTCCATTAAGCTCTCTGCATATTCTGTTTCCTAGGAGCCTGTACTAGATATGTTCAATAATAAAGGGGGCGAGATGGCTCAGTAGTAAGAGCGCGAATTTACTGACCGGAAGGTCCGTGGTTCGAGCCCGACTGCCTCTCGACTTCCCCTGTCTAGGTTTGGGCAACCTGGCAATATCCCAGCCCTCGTGCTTCCTTCTGGCGTGGCATGGTAGTTGGGCACCGAAAGGGTGCTACAGCTGAACGAATGACAAAGTTGAGCGAAAGAAAAGCAAAGTGAACGACTTTGACAAACTCTACTAGTTATCAGGAACCTACTAAGCCGTTCGTCGTGCACCTGAACCCGACCGCATGTGCAGGAATGAAGAGCATCCCCTCTGAAAAGCGTGATTGTTCGACGATATGCCTGGCGCTGCTCAAGCACTTGACGTAGTGTAAAGATATGATCGGTGTAACCTATGCCAAGTCGAGCCTGCTTGGTGCTCTCAGTTTCAAGTATCTCATTTAACAGAGCTTGGGAAAGCCAGTAGATGTGGTATGACAGACTTATGGCCCTTTAGTTGGAGCACTTGGCTCGGGTAGCTTCTTGAACCTATGTACTACGAACGATTGGCCCGAGTTCGATAGACCACTTTCTTGTTTTTCCAAAATACCTACGGAATATCTAATTAGAGTGAAACATGAAGATTATCTATCTTTGAACAACTCACAGGGGTCTTTCAGGTCCTGTTTGGTGGATTAGCTAGGACAGCTTTCATGGCTCTGTCCATTTCTTGAACACCACACCTTTCTGTCCACATGCAGGTTACGTTTGTTCTATTTCCATCCATCCCTTCCTGCGTGCATGCTTAATCAGATATTGGGTACATTAATGAATATCCATTTCATCACTTGCATGTTATCTAGGACGTCGGTGCGCTGCTGCTCATGTTTATCTCGATCAAATTAAGATGTATTCCCGATAGGGTGTGATATCATTCACGGTACACATCGTCATCCCCGTGGGCCTAATCCTCAGCCGTGTCCTCTAGTCCTCTGGTCTGTGTGTGTGTTACCGTGTGTGTTCCATATTAATGCTGGTCAGTCTCATTCAGCCCATAACCTGTGTTTGATCAATATTCGAAACAGTGCAATCGAAGATACTCTGTCGAAGTCGCTGTTGTAAAAAAAGAACGAAACAAGGTATACTACTAACTTACCTGCGCTCGGCAAATGCCGGCATGCTTCGCATAATTGTGGTTCGACGCCGAACTTCCCGCTCTTGTGGAGACGGTGTTTGTTCCGTTCATGCCTCCTCCCCCCTCACGATCTGCTCACTTTCCGGTTGCGTTTAAACTTGATTCTTCCACTCAACCTTGTTTTGGTGCATTTTGTTTACACTAGGTTGTATCTTTTAGCTTCAATTGAATCTGTGAGATTCTTCCACGTTCTACTGTTCTTTTTTGGTTTCTATTCTGGTTGATATCTTTCTCACACAATAATTATTTGTTCTAAATTGTGTTCAGACTCTCCGAATGGGTCATTTCCGTCGCGAGGTTCCTGCCCTCCTGTGTACTAGGTGAATTTCATGTGGAGTTTGATTTCGAAGTGTGTCGCCATTATTGGTGAGATCTCAG